GAGACCACCAGCTGGAGAGCTAAAGATCTGCTGCATGGAAAATATACACCCACAAAATATAAATGTAAGATGTTGGGGTATAATCTGCAACAGGTATTGTGGAAATTGCAGAGGTACTGGGAATCAGAATAGTGCATGATTTAGTACAGCAGAGGGGAACTTACGGCCTGCAGGCCAAATTCTGCCTGCCATGCCACCCCATTCTCCCCCAATAGTACATTCTCCTCCATTGAAGAGCCATAAAACTTCAGAACCATGGGCAGCAGCTGCTATGACATTTCTGACCAGCCGCTTACAATCAATACAGGGGATTGTCGCTTTGTCTCCTTGGTGTTACATTGAATTCTAGGTATGTTTAGTGAAAGTAAAAATGTAAGCATACTTATTAAATATGACCTAGTTCAATAGTGGCAGGACATGGATGGCACTGTGGTCTAAACCATTGAGCCTAGGGCTTGCCAATTGGAAGGTTGGTGGTTCAAATCCCCGCGATGGGGTGAGCTCCTGTTGCTCGGTCCCAGCTCCTACCCGCCTAGCAGTTCGAAATCACATCGAAGTGCAAGTAGATAAATAGGTACCGCTCCAGCGGGGAGGTAAACGGCGTTTCCGTGCACTGCTCTGGTTCACCAGAAGCGGCTTAGTCATGCTGGCCACATGACCCGGAAGCTGTCTGCGGACAAACGCCGGCTCCCTTGGCCTATAGAGCGAGATGAGCACCGCAACCCCAGAGTCATCCGCAACTGGACCTAACGGTCAGGGGTACCTTTACCTTTTACTAGTTCAATAGTATTTTGTGAAGCAGGGATAAACTACTTGCTTGGAATTACATAACCAACAAGTTACCATCTTTTTGCATGCATGCTTGTTCTTGAGTGATATTTAGACACGGACATAATGGGCTATATTCAACACTGCGTGAGCACACAACAGAACTTTCCTCCTTCCCCTCCTCTCCTTGCATCCCCCTTAATCTGCTCCCTAACAGATATTGAGGATCTGAGGTGTAGTGGTGTCTGCAATCAAGAGGAAAGGGAAATTCCTCTGTACGAGTGAAAATCTGTTGCACAGGCAGAGCACCAGTGTTGGTTGCAACCAAATATGTTGAAGACCAATTTCCTTTATTCAGGAGGGATCTGTTACTTCCTGAGTCTTGGCTAAGTATGGCTATTTTATGGGCCTTCCTCCTGAGTCAAGAAAGCTTAAGCCCGTCTAGACAATATACTTGGCCATGTGGCAGACACTAAGACTGTCTCGAATAATACTAGCAAGTTTCTCCCACCATGTAGAATGCAATGGCATCATTAGCTAGCACAACAATGCCACTCCATAAAAAATTAAAAACACTGACCACACATCACTCTATAGAATGAAAAATATGGCTTCTTCTGAGGTACACAGGCCACTTAAGGAATCAGGTTTATTAAACTCTGCCTGTGTAATAGTGGGCAGGAAATTTGATAGAGTGGAGAAAGGGGAGAAAGAAAGTATATCCAAACGGAATCTACAGAAGTTCCATCTTTTGACTTCATCTCTGTGTTATTTCACAGTCTTATTCTAAATTCCTCTCTACATACATACACGTTTATTTGTTCTCCCTTACGGCTTTTCACATATGCCTGATTCAGTTCTTACATTGGAGCCAGAAGAGCAACAGAAAGTCAGTAGCTGATTTGTGCTCACACTAGCAAGGATGCTCTAATCAACTGAACAAATGTTTGATTGCCGTTTCTGGTGGGGGAGTGCAACATTCCTATCATTTTATTCATATAATTCATCAATAAAGTCAGTTGTGACCTATCTGATCAATTTAATGGTAGGTATTTCAACTTAACTATCTAGCCAGTTCTTGACTGAATCTCTTGCAAGAGAGCATGTAGGGAAAGCATGAACTAGAACCATGCCATTTACAGATGCACAGAGACTTAGCAATAAATTTTCTTATCTTTTGTAATACAGACTGCTTCCAGAGAATTGCCCTAGGAACAGTACAGGAGTATTTCTGTGCTATCTTACAGAAGAGCAAGATCTATCAAGTCTAGCCCCTTTAAAATAGAAATCCAGATTCATTTAATAGAATATAATGAATGCATACATTGCTGATTTCAAATACTTCGCACACGGCATCCTTGAATATCCTATACTATGCATTCATCTTGCTTTAGCAGATTCACTGCTGGATAAATTGGAATTACTCTGCAGATATTAAAAGTTTATACATCCCTGGATTCCAACATGCCAGCTATAGCAGTTAACTTGACTAACACACTGAGAGACTTGTATCCAGTGTATTGAATGTGATATTATTTTCAAAATTGAATCCCAAGACAGCTGCCTGCATTATACTTTTCAGACAAGCAATGACTCCTGTGAGTCTGTCCCCTTTCTGAACACATGCAAATAAGAAGAGCATTCCCAGATTCTGGCTAGCAGGAATGGGTCTGCATCACAAATGAAAGAAGAGTAAATCACAGGGCATTCCGTGTCCAAACAGAGCAATATGAGAACCTAAGTTAGGAGAACAGGTGGTGGCACTAATAAAAGACCCATGCCTCAGATATGCTTTTCCATGGATAGGCAAACTAAGGCCCAGGGGCTGGATCTGGCCCAATCGCCTTCTAAATCCAGCCTGTGGAACGATCCAGGAATCAGAGTGTTTTTACATGTGTCCTTTTATTTAAAATGCATCTCTGGGTTATTTGTGGGGCATACGAATTCGCTCACCACCCCCCCAAAAAAAAACCATAGTCCGGCCCCTACAAGGTCTAAGGGACAGTGGACCGGCCCCCTACTGAATAAGTTTGCTGACCCCTGTGCTATTCTAATATAAGCTCAAAAAACCTACTGTATATGCTTGTGAAACACCCTAGATGGAGTCGATGAATGAACAGTGCATGTCTTGGAGTTACTTAATGTTTGTTTCACTTACTGTTTCTTTCACTGTATACAGAGAAAAAGCAAGTACCTTTTAACTTTTACCTTTTAGCAATGGATCCAAACTACAAGAAAGAAGATTCCACCTAAACATTAGGAAGAACTTCCTGACAGTAAGAGCTGTTCGACAGTGGAATTTGCTGCCAAGGAGTGTGGTGGAGTCTCCTTCTTTGGAGGTCTTTAAGCAGAGGCTTGACAACCATATGTCAGGAGTGCTCTGATGGTGTTTCCTGCTTGGCAGGGGGTTGGACTCGATGGCCCTTGTGGTCTCTTCCAACTCTATGATTCTATGATTCTAACTTCTTTTTATCTTACATGCTTTAAGGTCTAAAACTCTTAAAAGGTATCAGGTGCACCCATCTTAACAAATGATTGAGAAAACATCACGTTTAGCATGTAGATTAAGGAGTGTCTTGTAGGGTTCTGGGTGTGCATTCTTGATCTTTTTAAAGTCCCTTAATCAAGGACAGCATTCCGCAATTAAGAAAAGAAAGGTGTGATAACATTTTGAGATATCATTTCATCTCTCTCTGCACTTAGTCCTGGATGTACTTATCAGTGATGAGAGGGGGCAGAGGTTCAATCCATCAGCACTTTCAACAGCGAAATCTTATGCATGATTTCAGTAATGCCGAGCTAAAATAGCATGGGGCATATTTCAAGAAAATGTTTACTTCCCATGAAACTTACAGCCTTTTGTGAAAGCACGGGTACTGTTCTGGGGGGCAGAAGGGACAGGACATCCAATATGAGGGCATGTGTCACCATGACCAAGGCAATCTGGCTGTTCTCCCCTTGCCCCAGCCAAGTCCCATGTAGATGACTAACTGGGGCAGAATGTACAGGGTGATGAAGCAGCAGTATATTAGGGCAACAATAGCGGTAAATAGGTGCCATAAATGTGCAAAGAGCAAGTTTTGAATTTTTCAAAGACCTCTTCGTGATATGATCTGAAACAACATTCACATCCAAAACCAAATCTCACAAAAATAAGCCACAGCAATAATTCACACAGATTTCAATAGTGTTTACTTACTTACATAGTAAGTACTTAGGTCATAGCTGTCAACTTTTCCCTTTTCTTGCAAGGAATCCTATTCGGAATAAGGGAATTTCCCTTAAAAAAAGGGAAACGTTGACAGCTATGACTTAGGTATACATACTCAGAAGTAAGTCCCACTGAACTCGAGCCTTCACAATACTGAACTTGCTTAGGACTGCTGACTTAGGCCCACTGATTTCAATACAAGAGCTGAGAAAATGCTATTCAGACAGATGGAAGTGGCAGGATCATGTCCGTTCTATTAGGCATGGAAAACTGTGACTTGCTAAAAGCATAGTGGGCATAAACCATATTCCACTCAAGCCAACAGCAAGACTCAGATTGATTTTTAATGGTTCTGGATGGCACCCAATGCCTCGTATTTTCAACTAAAACTTGTTTTACATTCGTACGTGACAGTCTATTAAACAGTGGCCACAACTCCTTTCAATTTCTCACTGACCTTTGACAAAGTAGAACACTTTGTTTTGGACAAACAAACTAATTATTTAAACTAAAATATGTGAATACATTTGCTGATGCAGCCAGAATATATTTTCGGTGCAGCACACAAGGGTTTAGATGTGTGACTTCCAATTCCCTTAATGGGAGCTATCTGGCTAATCCTCAATGCATTTCACATAAATTGTACCCCATACAGTGCATATATAATAAGTAAAGGTGGTGATTTTCTGCTATGACTATTGGCAGGAAGGAGAAAATGAAAACATTTTCATTTTGCAGAGCCAGCTTGCTATTGGAATAGTGATTTTTGCCTGCATAAAGAGCAAAACCAGAACCTACAAAACAATCTAACAAATCTCACTGCGGTCTCCAACAGTGCAAATTCTCATTTGCAATATAAAAGACGGACCTGTTCTTTTTATTGTGAAATATATTTAACTCTGGGCACCACACAGTGAAAGTTATCATTTAGCAATTCCAAATCATTGTTCCAAGTTAAAACATTTGTGTTCATTACTGCTGAAGTAAAAGACAACCTGTCAAGTGAGAGATGAATGCTCACCTTATAACAAACTCGTGGTTGTCAATCTCTTTTCCACAGCCACTATCAAGGAGAATACCAGAATTTCCTACAACAGCACATGACTTAAATCGGCGGTTCTTCATTGGTGAAACTTCAGGAAGAAGACTGTGTAAATCCTGAGAAATATTTAGTGTGCGGCGTCTGTCTAGCACGTAATGGATTACATCTCCTGGCTTGAAGCTGCTTTTGACTACTGAGACATCTCTTTCTGCATCCAAGAAACGAAGAATGTTCTTCCTGTATTGAAAACAAGAATGCAAATTTATGATACCTCTGCAAAATATACAGTGGTACCTCAGTTTCCGAGCACCTCGGAAGCCAAATCATAGAATCATAGAGTTGGAAGAGACCACAAGGGCCATCGAGTCCAACCCCCTGCCAAGCAGGAAACACCATCAGAGCACTCCTGACAATGTTTCAGTTTTGAACGCCGAATGTTTCAGTTTTGAACGCCGAAAACCCGGAACTAATTGGTTCCATTTTTGAACGCTTTTCGGAAATCAGACAGCTTCTGCTGAGTTCCTCCCCCCCCCCCAATTTTCTCCACTGAAATTGCAGACCACCCATTGTGCTTCAGTTTTCAAACGTTTTGGAAGTCGAACAGTCTTCCAGAACGGATTACGTTCGAAAACCAAGGTACCACTGTATTCCAAAAGAGTAGCCTATTGCTTGGAGTAAAATTGCAGTGTAATCTTGCATGGATTTTTAGAAAAGTTTACATGCAACATCGAACCATGGCTTGGTACTGATATCCAAGGCAACTGCCACAATCGAAGATTTCCAATTTGAAAGAAACAAAATATTTTGCTAAAACCAGAAAGGAATCACCATAGGGAAATCAGGAGGTAAGGGCAGCAATGAGGATCCTTGATTGTTCATTCATAAGAAATAAAACCAAGCCATGATTTGGCATTCCAACCTTAACCACCCTTTCACAAATACACTTCATCCATCTGATCACACTAATTCTGGCCTCCTCAAAGTTAGCCTTCAATTTGCAACATCACTTTCCTTTTTCCAGTAAAAGCTGAAACATCTCAAAAACAAAACAAAGCATGAAAACTGTTACTTTGTGGATTTCATTAAACTGTGATGAGACTGCATTTGTAAACCTATGATTTAAAAGCCACCACTTGATTTTAAAATGTCAAAGCTCAGTTTCCATTGATCCATCTTTACTGATTTTTTTATACAAAAAATATTGATTATTATTTTTAAAATCAAAACAGCAATCAACAGTTCTAGAGCAAGAATCAGGTTCAATAATATTGTTGAGAAAATAAATGTAACTCGTGGAGCTCAGGTTCAAAACCAGCATGTTTATGGTTTCTAATCACATAAGGCACAATAAAAAAACTCATAGAAGTCAGCAGCAACATGGTCATTGATTTTTAGCAAGGTTATAATATTCTAAATTATAGGCTCGTATGAAATTCTCATCTTATTAAGTAATTGTGCAAAGAAAGAGACAGGTGAATTTAATTCTGGTCTGGCCACTTCCACATTTCTACCCATTTCCTAATCAATCTGCAATTTTTAAAAAGTCCTCTCAGAGTGCATATAAAAATGTTCATGCTCTCTCAAGTTCTCTCTCAAAATGTGTCTGTGAATGCATATTATGATACATTTAAACACCAGAGCAAACACCATATTGCAACGTTCAGAGAAACACAAAATCCCAGGGATAACGAAATTTCAATATGTGCATTAGTTTCAGAGGTGCAGATTAGTTCATATTGCATAGCAATTTGCAAAGAGTGCACTGTTTATGGACACAAGGCATGGATACATGCTGGTCACATTTAAGCTAATTCTGCACATTAGCACTGAGCCCTAAACCAGGAGTTCCCAAACTGTGGGCCCTGGACCGCCAGAGGTCCTTGAGTACCATTGAGGTGGCCTGTGACATTTCTGTGGGTTTGGGGTTGAAGACAGGAGACAGCAGCTGAAGCAGGTATTCAGCTACTCTGGGAAGATGAGAAAGATTCTTCCCTTCTCCCCTGAGCTAATTGCTAATTTCTTCTGCTACAACACACATAAGCTATCCAAAGCAGTGGTGCAGCATTTGGGGGGGGGGGGCTCAGGGGAGGTTACCCCCGGTGCAAAATTGTCAGGCGCACCCAGTGATGCCTCAGTAATACAGCTGTGTGCTTCCATTGCTGGGCTCCATTGAGAAACGGTTTCTCCATGTGAACCAGGAAGTGACCCCTCCAGACAATGGAATGGCTCTTTGTATCTCTGCAGCTGAGATCTCCTGGGTGACGCAGACACCATTAGGCAGATCAATGCACAGGTGTGCTCCACCCATTTCCCTCCCTCCCCCATTTCTGTGGGGCCCCGGAAAGTGGCAACCCACAGTATGCCACTGCTCAGAGCAACTAAGGTCTCTGAAAGAGAAATGCCTTTTTGAATACCTTTTGATATTCCAGACATCTATAAATTAAAGACTAGCCTGAGATTTCTGTGAGAACGGGCTGGTAAGTCACTTTTTAGGAAACAGTGTGCCCCAGGAAACTGTCTCTCACACACATTATCTCTTCAAACACAGTACACATCCTGCCCACCTGATAAATGTCCCATCAAGTAGAGATACTTAAGGAACATCTATGTCTTAGCACAGTTATTCCTTTCTTCTCCCTTGGCACCTTAGTAATTAACATCCTACTTAGAAGACAGCTTCACAGCTAACTTCAGCAGTGGCTTATCCTTTACCTTTAAGGTTGTCCCCATAACTCCAGCTTGGCCTACAGACCGAACAGAAAATTCCGCACTCTAAAACATCCTTTTGAAAAAGAGGTGCTTATCCCATGAAGGGGGTGAAAAACCACTCATTCGGTAAAAAGGATGGGACCTATGAGTTCATGACAAGAGACTAAAGATTAGCAATTATTACTAATGAATTTTACTTTCAAAAAGGTTTTTGAAATGGAAGCATTTCTATGATATGACATAGTAGTGGGACATTTCCCGCAGAACGACACTGAAAGTAGTTTTTCATAGCTCAACCTTCCAAATAAATGAGGCCAATAAACAGTTATGTAAACATGGAGGGGTGTGTGGCTTCCAATGTATTGCAGAACTAGCTATATGGAGCCTGTCTGCCAGCTGGACAGAAGATGTGGGTATTTCCCACCATCGGGACACCCCCCCACACACCATCCTGCATCTCTGTTGCTCGTCCCCTCCCTACTACCCCTTCCTCTCCCACCTGCTCTCCTCCTCCTTCCCTTCCCCTCTCTTAGGGTTGCCATATTGACAGACTTACCCTTCGCGCAGAGGCTTCCGCTTGCTGGTGCCTCGCTGAGTAGGCTCCGCTATGGGCTCCACCTCTCCCTTTCAGACCTCCGGCCTCCCTCTAAATGGCCGCTAGCAAGTCGTGTCCAGGAGTAGGCCCGCTGGCGGCCCCCAAAGGCTGCTCAAGCCATGTCAAAGGGGTCACGGTCAGCAGCTGCAATGGTGGCTGCGGCAGCTATGTCAGCACTCCAGTCCTGCCTGGGCCTTCCCCAGCAGCAGCAGCAGTGGCGCCCCTAACCATAGCTGTCAATGCTTTCATTTCTTAAAGGGAAATTCCCTTATTCCGAATAGGATTCCTCACAATAAAAGGGAAAACCACATTGAGTAGGACCCGAGAGAGCTCCTGCCGCCGCTGCAGCAGCGTCCCCTTCCACACTTGAGCAGCCATGGGGGGGGGCCACTGCTGCAGGGGAAGGCTCAGGCAGGACCAGAGAAGCCGCAGAGCAATCAGCCTTCCCCCCCCCCCGGCCTGATCCTGGATACGACCTTGCCAGTGACCACTAGCAGGCCTGAAAGGAAGAGGCAGATCGACAGCGGAGCCACTCAGCGACCCAGAGTCACCCCCAGCACCAGCAAGCGCTAGCCTCGTGCAAACAGGGTCCCGGCAAACAGTGCAGCCAGGAGCAGGCACTGGAAAGGGGTGGTGGCAGTGGTGGAACTCCAGATCCCGCTGCAGCACTTCTGCTTCCGGGGCATAGCCGTGGTGCAGAAAGGCAGTGGAGACTGGCTGACTCTGAAGAGTGCCTGCCCTCTCCCACCCTTCGGTGGCATGTGTCTGCACCCCCCAATAACCCAGACATTTCATTTAAAAAATAAAAATCTGCCCAGGTGGGCATGCTGCCCCCCCCAACCAGGACATCTCTGGGGGAACCCAGACATATGGCAACCCTAATAAAGAGCTCCTGGTTTTCAGACAACAAGTTTGTTCCCTTGAAGTCAGGGTAGCTGAATATGAGAAGCTGAGAGAGGAAGATAGGTTGGTGAATGATGTCTTTAGAAACATGACAGCAGTGTTCACCTCCCATATTAACAGTTCCTTTCCTGTCATGAAGAGTCAGGCCACATTCACACCGTGATGCCACTTTAAACAGACCCCCCCCCAAGAATTCTAGGAGCTGTTGTTTGTTAAGAGTGCTGAGATTGACTGTTAAACCACTCTGGGAACTGTGGATCTGTGAGGGCAATTGGTGTCTCCTAACAACTCTCCTAGCTATTCCAGTAGCTCTACAAACTTCCTAAGTGTGTTTGTTAATTCTGGGAAAGAGGGAAATGGCATCGTAATATCACACAAGCCATAGTCAAAGCTTCAAGTCACAAAGAGATTTCTGACACTTGGTTTTAGAACAATGAGGGTGCTACACTTACTTCTTAAGCCTAAGGGAACTGAGACGTGATTTTTTGGAACTTACATTTCAGTAAAATACAAGAGGAAAAACACATTCTTTAGGATATTGGTGTAGATTTGAAGCCGTGCCGGAGAAGAGAATATCTGACGACTGAGCTTGTGTGACAACATAGTAATGAAGCAGAATGGGATATATTAAAATGCAAAGTGCCTAGAGCATCAGATAAATGATAAGTCAAGGCAAAGGTTCCCTTTCCCTGATTTTTGCTTTTCTGAAATCTAAAGACTATATTTTTTATCATATTTTTAATCTTGTACACAGATGGGTTTAAAAGCTGCTCAGGCCTAATATGCCAAGACCAGCAAATATTGGAGAAAACACATTAAGAAGGAAATGAGCTGATCTAACTGCACTAAAGACCTGAAATAGGACAATACATGAGATAGTAAGAGAACTGTGTAGGATTGCCAACTCCTGACTTATAAGCTTCCTTATAAAGCAAGGCTGGGGAACCTATGCCTCTCCAGATACTGTTCAACTCCAACTCCTATCAGCCCCAGTCAGAGTGCATGAGAGTAGGAGTCCAGCAACATCTGA